GGCAGAATCAGAAGATTCCCAGAGAAGATTCTAGCTAAAGAAATTCTGTTTTTAAGATAAGATTCAATTCCTAACTGCTGTGGGCACTCTTCCTTGACTGCTCTCTCCCATATCCCTGGTCCTCTACCATCATCCAACATGGGTAGGGTCGCATGGGTTAACCTCTCATTTACCACCACAGTATAAGGACCCCCAGGAAAGAGGCTGTGACTTTCAGTTTTATTAACCTCTTTTGTGCCTAGGACTAGATGCACAGAAGGGTTTCCTGTAGGGGGAGCTGCACACCTCAAGGAAGAGATGCAGTGTAAGTTTTCATTTATTTTTATTTTATGGGTATGAGTGTTTTGCCTGCATACAAGTAAGTGCACCCATGTTGCAAAATACCCACAGAGGCCAAAAGAGGGCATCGGATTCCTGGGAACTACAGTTACCAATGGTTGTTAACTGCCATGTGGGTGCTGGGAACCAAACTCAGGTCCTCTGCAAGAGCAGCCAGTGTTCTTAACCACTGAGCCATCTCTCCAGCCCCACAGTGTAAGTTTTGACCATGAAATTCCATCCACTTGTCTAAACATGACTCAGACTACCTATTCTCTAAGCTGTTTGTCTGACCATACTTGGTAGAAGTCAAAACCTCCCTTCAACATATCCATGAGTAAAAATAAGTCAAATACTGGGCTCTGCCAGACCTATGTGTGAGTTCTAGTGCTGCCGTTCCTGATCTGGGTAGTTTTGAGCAGACTCCCTCACTCCTCAGAGCCTCTGTTCCCTGTGCATAAAATATGAAGAACAGTTTCTGCCTCACAGAGTTATGTGAACTATAAATGTTATATATGCATTGTACATGAGCCACATTCCAACAGGGTCCCCATTACCATGACTACCACTCTGTAATCATACTGTCCTAGGCTGAAGGGCATTTGCATACATGTCCTTTCCAGCCCTGGACAGTAATGGATCTCAATCTCCAGGGTATATCAGGATCATTTTAAATGAATTTCCCCCCTATATCACTGACCTTCAAGTTAGAATCCCTGGCAGGTAGAGGAGGAGGTAGGAATATACAGCTCTCATTTTTTTCTCTCAGTAAAGAAATGTTTAATGGCTGAAGAATCGTACACTGGCTCTGTGATATCTCCATAAAGGCAACTTTCATGTTTCAAAAATAGATTTGATATTTTTTTACAGCTCTCATTTTTTTGACCTTTTTGAGACAGGGTCTCCCTGTAGCCCCAGCTGTCCTGGAACTCACTATGTAGACCAGGCTGGTCTTGAACTCACATAGATCTGTCTGCCTCTGCCTCCCGAGTGCTGGGATTAAAGGCATGCGCCACCATGCCTGGCTACAGCTCTCATTTTTAAAAAATTATTTTTATTGAATTTTTGTGCATTTCATATAATACTTCTTAATCAAATGCAGCCCCTCCCTGATCCATTACCCTCATAGCCCCCCCACCAGATTTCATGCATTCTGTCATATATGTTAAGTCCTATTCAGTCAAGCATTTGTACCCAGATGTCCTTTGGTGCATAATTCATTCACTGGAGTCTGGTCCAACTATGTAGAGATCTTGAAGAAGATCTACTCTCCCTCACCCAGCAGTAATCAGTTGCCAATATTTCCTAGGCTGGAGGTGGGGCCTGCTGCCTGTCTCCCTCATTCTATGCTTGATTTTTGTCTGATTGAGTTGGCATGGGTCTTGTGCACACTGTCACCATTGCTGTAAGTTCGTATGAGCAAGTTTCCAGTGGCCTGAAAGACTGCTTCCTTATGTTCATGCACCAATGCTGGCTCTTATAGTCTTTCCATTCCCTCTTCCACAATGGTCCCTGAGGTGTGGTTGGGTGAGTTTTAATACAGGAGTCCTATCCAGGAACATGCACTCTTCAATCTCTTATTCTCTAACACCTAGCCAGTTGTGGCCCTTGTGTGCACCACACTCTGTTGTATAAGGAAACTTAACTGGTGAGAGTTAAGGGATGTATTAGTATTCTTTCTAACCCCTGTTCTACTATGTTCTGTGAGCCTTAGGTGTAGAGGTCCCTTTGTAGATGTATCACTTAGGGCTGGGCATCTCTCAGACATATAGTCTCTGTGTGACCAGTTGTAGAACTCTGTAATAGCCTCCATCTGTTGCAAAAAAAAAAAGGGGGGGGGCTTCTTTGATTGGTGGTGTATGATACACTTGTCTGTAAATATAAGGATTCATACTTAGCATACAGTAAGAAATTTCATTTATCTAGAGATATGACAGAGATAGGGTTTTCCCTAGGATCTATGGTCTCTCCAGCCATGTGTATTTGGCTATGTTTACAGTACCATCCATGAGTTTCCTCCTATTGAGAGGGCTTAAAGTTCAATTATATAGCTGTTGATTACCCCCTAGATAACAGTGCCAGAACTCCACAACAGAGGTAGTTTGCTGTGCCGGTCATTGTGGTTATTAGGTTTTAGAGCTGGATTGGACTATTGATAGATTTTCTCCCTTAGCAGCTTGCATAGTATTCTCTAGAACTACGAGAGCTAGTCTTCGGGTACAAGGCTTCCAGGTGAGTTCTAGCTCCATTGCTCCAAGTCCTGTGTCCGAAGTATGTCCTGACTTCAGCAGTAGAGCCTTACCTTTGAGTTCTGGGAGGTAAGGTACTGCCTATGTTTTTCTTCTAGCAGTTTCAGAGTTTCAGGTTTTATATTGAGGTCTTTGATCTGTTTGGAGCTGACTTTTGTGCAGGGTGAAAGATAAGGGTCCAATTTCATTCTTCTACAGGTGGAGATCCAGTTTTGCCAGCATCATTTGTTGAAGATCACAGCTTTCATTTTTAACATTTCCCCACCCCTAATACATACACACTGAAAGAGACTATAATATGTGCTCACCAAACTTGGAAACTTCTGCAAGATGAATTTAATTTCCAAATTCCTTATAAACATGAGGTTCCAAAAAGACCAGGGGCTCCCAAGCTGGGTTGCACTTAAACACCATCATATCTGGGGATGAGTCCCAGATATTCTGAACTGGGTTTGGAGTATACAGTGGATGTCAAGATTTCTGAAAAAAGGAGCAAAGAATTCTAGTGGCCAGACAAGGTTGAAAATCCTATTCCAAAGCAATGGCTTTGAGGTTCCAACCAGAATAGCTCAGCTTTTACCCAGGGTTATAAACTGAGCTTCCATGTCATACTGACTTTGCAGAAATGATCCTCGTGTTTCACAAAAAGCAGTAAGTTGAGCTGGAGTGATGGCTCAGCTCACCGCACAAGCACAGGACCTGAGTTTGATCCCCTGCAACTCCATTAAAAAGTCAGGCATGGCAGCATATGCCTATAATCTCAGGGCTGGGGCAGGCAGAGACAGGAGGATATCTGGGGCTCACTAGACAGCCAGTCTAGTCAAATCAGAGAGTTCCAGGTTCAGTGAAAGAATTTATCTTAAAAAAATAAGGTAGAGAAGGATTAGAAAAGACACCTAATTTTGAACTCTGGTACACACACACACACACACACACACACACACGCATGTGCGCACACACACATGCACACCACTAAGTTTGTAAACAAGTGCTCCAGCCTGTTAACAAGAGCCTTGCAGTTCCACAGCCAGGACTATATTCACCTTTGTCTCTGTTTCAGGGCCTTCCAATATAGTGGATGTTTCATAAATATTTGTTGTAAGGTCAAATAGTTTTATTTGTTATCTGGCTCCAATTAAGTTTTCAGTTGCTTGGCACAGCGACCTGACCATTGCGTAACCATCTAAACCCCAACAGCCTTTGCCTCCAATCTTAAACCTACAACACAAAATGGAGCAGCCAGCTCTCCATGGAACATGCTGATGTTTCTCCTTGGGGTTAAATATACTATGCAAGTACCTAATGACTAACAAATAGAAGCAAATGTGACTTGCAGTGCAGGCCTCCCAGCTAATATTTGGATTGTTTCATCTGAAACTGTCAAGTTACAAGAGGATGATAAAGACTTGTAGGACCTTCTTAGTAAACTGTAACTGGCCTTTTGTCAATATGCTGTCAAAATGCTCAGCCGGAATGCCTGCAGCACAGGCCTGGGGCCAACAAGAGCCTGCACCCCAGGTGGCTCTTAGTATCACAACCACAAAGCCCCTTTCCCGCCCAGGAACGCCAGTCCCAGGATTCCACCACCATACCTGGTGCCCACCATTCATGGTGCCCAAAGTTAAGTGCCGTAGGAGTCTGAGAATCAGACAAACACCTTCAAATTTTACCTTACCTGCTGGTTCTAGAACTCTGGGTCATCACTCAACCTGGTAGGTCCCCAGATTCTCAGTGGAAATTCTGTTTCATCAACTCCTTAGAGCCACAACTACCTGGATTTGAATCCTGACTCTTCACCTGCTGCCTGAGTAGCTGTGGGAAATGTAAGCCATGCCTCTGAGCCTGTTCCCTGCCTCTAAAATGAGGAGTATGTTAGACATTGAAAAGGAACAGAAACATTACCTGGTATGGAAGAGGTATACAATAAACCTTAGTGATTATAACACTGTAATTTAGAAATAAAGAGTTTTGAATACCAAACTCCTTATAGCTTTATGTTTTTGTTGACAAAACTCACTGGCAGGAAACTTGATATATGACCCAGGCCATTTATATGTCTTATTGTTACTCTATTTAGTTTGAGCATTCATGCTTTCTTGCAGAAATAATACTGTGTTTTGACCAAGATGAAGCACACCCTGAATTCTCTAAAATACACATTTCTGAGTTCTAAAACACATTGGGGGAGGGGGAGTTGGGGAGATGCCATAAGCAATGGCACTGGTGCGCTGTTGGCAATGCATGTGTGTGCTTGTGGAGGCCAGGGGACAACATCAGCTGTGATTCTGCAGGTCTGATACACACACACACACACACACACACACACACACACTCAGATATATGGTGCCAAGAATTCTTTCCACTGCAGCCTGATCAATGCATTGGCGCACTGATCAGGCAGGGATAGAGATGGGGCCCATGATGCATGCCTACCTTCTCTCAGCAGGGTCTCGGCCCCGGGCCTGCGGGTGCCTGCTGCCACGCAACACTGCGGATCCCTGGTGGCTGGCATCTGGGCCCGCCAGGCCTCGCTGCTCCTCTCTGCTCCGGTGCAGTGGCACCGACGTGCGCACAGCCGACACGACGTGGCCAGAGAAGGATAGCGCCCCGGGTCGGTGGCTGCCACGTGTACGGTAGGAGCTGGGCAGGCAGGGCCGTGTCTGCTCCATCACTCCTCCGCTGCAACTGCGTGAGCAGGCGGACCAGGGGCCCCAGGCACCCCACACACCCTGGGTGCCACCACTGCTGTCCTCTGAGGCACCCTCTGCTGCTGCCATCCGCTGTGGAACCTGTGGAGAAAGAGGAAGGTTAGGAACCAAAATCTGAAAAGCTTTGGTTAGGGCTTCTCTGCTAGGCACATGTAGAGCTGGGGTTTTGATTTAAAGGTTAGAATAAAATTATTATAATTCAGCCTGGGTCACAATCTCTGCCAACTTGGTCATAACAGGTCATTTTTCCTTTTTTTTTTTTTTTTTTTTTTTTTGGGATAGGGTTTCCCATAGCCCCAGCTGGCCTGGAACTCACTATGTAGACCAGGCTGGCCTTGAACTCACAGAGATCCGCCTGCTTCTGCTTCCTGAGTGCTGGGATTAAAGGTCACCACCACACTCCGAAATTTCTCCTATTTTTTATGAGGGAAGAAATCCAGGAAGTTTTAAGCACCCAGAATCCATGAGAAAAATGGTGCAGTCCTGAGCTTTGAGCACCATGATGGGTTATCATTTTGTTTCATTGTTGTTGTTTTTTAAAATATTTTATTACATTAATTTATGGGGGAGGGCACACATGGAGCTCAGAGGACACCTTGCTAGAGTTTATTCACTCCTTCCACTATGTGGGTTTGAGGACTGGAACTCAGATCCTCAAACTTGGCAGTAAGTGGCTTATTCATTGAGCAATCTTGCCACCTCATGATGGTTAATCTTCATTATCAACTTTACTGGACTTAGAATAACCATGGAAACATGCCTCTAGGTTTGTCTTTGAGGGTTTTTCTAGATTAGGTTAATTATAGTGGGAAGATCCACCCTACATATGGGCACCATACCACAGGCTGGGGTCTCTGACTGAAAAACAGGAAGCTAGCTAAACAGTTCTCTCTCTCTCTCTTCTCTCTCTCTCTCTCTCTCTCTCTCTCTCTCTCTCTCTCTCTCTCTCCTTTCTGACTGACTGCAGATACAATGTGACCAGTTTCCTCCATGATGGCCTACCTTCAGGCTGCAGGCCAAAATAAACCTTTCATTAAGTTGCTCTTTCCTCATTGCTGTGTATTTGTCACAGCAATGAGGAAAGCAACTGATCCACCACTCTGGCCTTAGAGAGTAGATATTGTGCCTTCAGGAGTCTTCTTCAAGCTTGGGTTGTGTCTCCCCTCAGGCTGGAGGGCCTGGACTTCCAGCAGCTACAGGGCAGCCATGGGGAAATTGGTCCTATGTCCCCTGCAGTAAAAGCAATGCTTGTAACTATTTGGAGGCCATGCCCTAGAGCCAGGCTGTCAGGAACCACATCTCTGCTACCTCTTAGCAGTGACTGGGAAGCTTCTGAACCTCTGAGGCCAGTATCTGTGACAGGAGAATGGTACCATGCCTACCTTCTAAGCCATAAGGAGACTTCAGTGGGTTCATCTATTTGCACAGCACAGAGCTTGACACTGCTGTTAATAGACATCATGATACTTTCCCTGCTTCCATGCACATCAATTAGAAGGGATGGGAAACATCACAGCATGTGCAGGTTCTAGCCAGGGAGTGATTTCACACTCAGATTCATTAAACCGGTCCTTACAGAGACCTATATGCTGCACTAAAAGCACCCTGGCCCCTCTGTTATGTACATGGGAACTAAAGTTCCTAGAAAAAAAAGCTGTGCCTGTGTCAAAGATTCCACAAGGCCAACTGATCAGAACCTCTGGGATTATGGAGAGCTAAAACAGTGCAGCGCCAGACCCCAAATTATCTTGGGCTATCTTTAGTTCCCGTAACAGCCATTCCTAGCCTACCTCTGTGTTTGACTCTTGTGACTATCAGGTAAAATTCTTTAGGAATGTACAAACAGATTCCCTAGCTTCCAGCAACCCAAAGGCCATCAGATAGCATCTGAGGCCAATAGCAGAGACTTTCCCACTTGGCTGTAACCCACCTGCCTGATGTTCCCAACAATGTATTTTTAAATGACCTTGATTTTCTGTTACTATAAAAAACTTCATGAAGCTGAATGTTTGAACATTGTATTTGAGGCAACCTGAATCTGTGTTCCTGGGTCACTCCCATTTGGTCCCAGAATAAACTATTTCTTATTCCCACTGAGGGGAGAGCTATATCTCTGCATCACCATAGACATGCCCTGAGCATCAGCTGTATACCTGGCCCAGAGTCAGGCACTCTCCTAATTTTGTGTCTGTGGCTGTAATAATACACCCTGCCAAAAAGCAACTTGGAGGAGAAAGGGTTTAATTTAGCTCACAATTCCAGGTCACAGTGAATCACAGAGAAGGCCAAGGCAGCAGGAACTTGAAGCAGTTATCACCTCACATCCACAGTCAAGAGCAGAGAAAATGAATTCATGTATGCATGCCTACTACTCAGCTCCCTGTCTCCATCCACTCATATAATCCAGGACCCAAACCCACTGTTACTCACAGTGGACTGGGACTTCCCACACCAATTAACATAATCCCCCACAGATGCCCAGGCCAACCTGACTCAGACAATTCCTCTTTCAGACTCTCTTCCCAAGTGATTCTAGATCGTGTCAAGCTGACAATTAAAATGAACCCTTCTTGTCACTGAGGACTATGAAGAAAAGCATCCAGGTCCACACAAGTGGCCTGGATCCAGCAGCAGCAAAGGTTTACGCCACGATGGGAAGGCTCCCAGGAGGAAGTGGCTGCCTTGGCTGGAGGAAACTGAGAAAGTCGCACAGAGGAAACAAGGGCGTCCCAGTGAGAGCTGGGATTGCTTAGCACCTGCTGAATGCCTTACTGAACACGTAATCTCTGAGTCCTCATGACCGTCCTGGTTACCAACAATCTCATCTTAGACTGCAGATCAGAGACATCATGCGACCTGTCCCGAGGCACTTTGCTGGATACAGATACACCCATCTCTCAATACCTGTACGTTCAGGTACTTGCTCTCTCCTTAGCAGAGAGATGCTCCTGACCTTCCAGAATCCTCTTCTAGACTGTTTATCCTATCCTTAGACCACTGAGTGAATCTATAGCTTTTCTTGGAATATGAGTTTTTTTCAGCAAGTCGTGGGCTTATCTCTGCAGTGCAATGATGCCTCTAGATCACCCTTGCTTTTTATTTGTTTTTAATGATCTTAACTTTCAGCAGCCTAATTTGGCATACCAGCTCAAAGCTCTTGCCAAGTTGTACTCTTCCTCTGTCTCCACAGAACCTGTGTGGTGAGGCAGCTCAGGGATAATCTGGACTAAACCTGACAGGCCTGATCTTCTGGATGCCACATGGCATCACACAGTGTCACACATGACTGACGGTGCTAAGCCTACCCCAGGGTGCAGTTGTGAGGACTGACCAGGAACCTGCTGATAAGCCTGAGATGCGTCTGCTGCTGCCGAGTCCATGGGCACCAAAAGCCAGAGTGCCCGCTCTTCAGTAGAGTTCTTGCAGCAGGTAACCAGCCACCATAAAGTCACTAGCTTGTGTAATTAGGGTCACCTTGACATGGCATCACACAGTGTCACACATGACTGACGGTGCTAAGCCTACCCCAGAGTGCAGTTGTGAGGACTGACCAGGAACCTGCTGATAAGCCTGAGATGCCTCTGCTGCTGCTGAGTCCATGGGCACCAAAAGCCAGAGTGCCCGCTCTTCAGCAGAGTTCTTGCAGCAGGTAACCAGTCACCATAAAGTCACTAGCTTGTGTAATTAGGGTCACCTTCCTTCAACCAAACGGTAGTGTAGACTCATCCCTGATAACCTTTACACCTTAGGTTGGTTCTTGAAGGTTCTGGAAATAACTAGAGCAGGATGGGAGAGCAAGACCAGGAAGAAAAGAAACAACGAAGCAGGGGGGCAAAGAGCCTACCCTGAAGTCAGTGGCAATTCACAAATGGCATCAATCAGCTGACTTATGGGAACTATGTTCAGAGAGCCAACACAAGAGAACAGATGGCATGGGGTGAGTCAATTTCAGATAAGGTCATGGCAAGAACAGGCAAAGGAAGGGGGGAAGGAGGGAGAGGTGGAGAGAGAGAGACAGAGAGAGAGAGAGAGAGAGAGAGAGAGAGAGAGAGAGAGTCTGGCATCAGTTGTCTGCAGAGCTGTGGTTCCAACCTCAACCATTATGAGCCCCCCTCAGCCCATCCTTGCTACACTGAGCATCTAGGTTGAAGGCTCTTATACATAATTATAAAACAAGGCCAGAGTCCAATGAAGCACAGAAGAGAAGATGAAGCATGGTGAAGGCAGCCCGCCTACCTAAGTGAAGAATGCAGGGATGTGGCTACAAGTCATGGGGAGGAGTAAAGGTCCCAGAGCCACCAGATGCTGAAGAGGCAGGAAGGATTCTCCACACAGGAATTGAGAGAACACTCAGTGACACCTGGCCTGCAGAACTATGAGGGAATTCAGCTCTGCTGTTTTATGCCATCAAGTTTGTGATGGTTTGTTCAACTAACAGAGAGTGTTGGACTTCCAGGACAAGGTAGGGCAGTGCACTACTAGTGCCCACCAAGAACCTTCTCCATGTCGGACACATCTGTGTATCAGTCAGCTCAGTGGCCGGGCAGAGGTAAGCTCCTGTCACCAGGCCCTGCTTTCAGAGTCCCTCAGTGCCCCACCCAGTCACCTGAAAGGTTGCTCGCTGTGCAGGAAAGAAACCGAGGTCCCAAGAAACTATGTGATATGCCATGGTGTCAGACTAGTGAGATGCAGGGACCAGACTAAAATCAAGTTCTCCTCTCCTGAGGCCCCTCCTCCTGCGTGATGCTGCCACACTGCCTGTGTTGTTGGTGGGAAACAAAAGGGAAATGAGGAGTAAATCCGCACCAATGGGCATTCTAATGCGAGGATGACGGGGATAAAGGAACGAAGACAGAAAGATGTTTCTGGCACCTTTGGGGATTTAGGCTCTCCTGCCCTTCCCCATCTCTCAGTAACAGAGATAATAACCAAGATTGTCTGGAACATTCCATTAGACACGCAGCCACACTGGAGAGCCACTTCCTAGGATTAATCCCACCCTAATTTAGTTTCTGACTGCCAAATTGGGCAAGATCCTTGTGGGAAGGAAACATGAAACCACATTCCATCCTATTCTACCC